ACAGGGAGATATTTTCCATAACTAGATCTCCACTAGTGAAGATATCGATTAAGTGTTCATTTTCTTTGTTATTTTTACTAACGACTATATAATAAAAAGAACATTAAATACACGGTGGCTAGAAGTTTCATATCTTATTATTTATCTTCTCGTGGTGAAAACTGAAAACAATATTTTTTACTCACTCAAAAATTAAAATTTATATCTTCGCAACGCCGTTAGTCTGCGATAGCAGAATGACTCAGTCGCCCCCCCCCCCACCGGCCGCCCTCCCCCCGGCCGCCCTCCCCCACTGGAGCTGCGGAGAAACAGCTGACTAATATCAGAGGCAGAGCGTAAGAAGGGCTCTGGGTACGAGAATGAGGCGGTGCTGATCAGTCTGCTATCGCATACTACACCCTGTCTCTGTACCCAGGCGTTTCTTTGTAAAAAAACAGCGATGCGCATATGACGAGTTCACATGAAGTATTGTAGTACACCGCCGTCTAACATCCTCTATATAGTACTCTCCTTGACCTTTCAAGACTAATAATGCAACATATCCTCACACGTAGTATTAGGGAGGCTGGACGCGCAGGGGCGGGAATATTAAAAAAAGGTAATCATTTTTAGATTGGGATTAGATTAGAGCCAGATTAAAAACCAGGGTTAGGGTTAGAGGTTAGAGTGGGGGTTGGGTGGGGGTTAGGGTTCAACTTAATATAAGGCATATCCTTAATCTTTAGAAAATTTGACAATCAAGGATAATCCCTAATACCACGTGTGAGGATATGCAGAATAGTCCTGATAGTTTCGAATGCATATTTTGAACGAAACAATACTTAAAATGTACAACTTTTAATATATATTCTTTTCCAAAATACACATAGTAATTACTGTATATTAAGATGTACAACAAACTGCATTATAAAAACGATTTATTATAAAGTAAATTTACATTGCTACGTTTCATTCTCCATATTTATAAACGTAATAACACGTGTTTGAAGTTGCGAAGAAGCAAACATGAATCGGAGTTGTTTGGAAATTACCAGAACATTCGGAAACGCCAGTGTATAAGTAACTCCAACCAGGGGCGGCGAAACAGGGGGGCTAGGGGGGCTAAAGCCCCCCCAGAAGTAAAAGTGATTATTTGAATTTTTTGAAAAAATTTTGATAATTAGGGAAAAATTTAGGTTATTTTTTGAAAATTTAGGTATAAGGGGACAAATTTGCCATATTTTGTTTAAAAAAAGTGTATTTCCGAAAAATTTTTTTGATATAAGTCCGAAAAATTTTTTTTCGTCCCTTTTTTTGTATATTGTACCCCTAAAGTGGTACACTGACCGAAATTATTTTTGGCGACGGGGGGTGGGGTGGGGAGGTCGCCGAAAAAATTTAGCCCCCCCAGAACGAAATCTGTTCCGCCGCCGCTGACTCCAACTCGAATCCAACTCGATGTTTCGGGATTCCCATGTATACTATAAACACGAGTTTCGAAGAAGTAAACAAGAATCGGAGTTGTTCGGAAATTACCGGAACATTCGGAAATGCCGGTATATAAATAACTCGAAGTCTAACTCGAAGTCCAACTCGAACTCGAACTCGAATCCAACTCGATGTTTTGGGATTCCCAGGTTTACCTAACGTTGCGTGATGGGTATTAGTAAAACACGGAGCACGGAGCACACGGAGCACGGAGTACGGAGCACACGGAGCACGGAGCACACGGAGCACGGAGCACACGGAGCACGGAGCACACGAACTACGGAGCAGTAGAAAAACGAAAATCCTTTATAATAAAATACACTGTTTACTATTACAAATTTTTGTTCTTATTAATAAAGTTTTTTCGCGTTTTACACGTTGAGGAAGTAGAAAAATGGGGCTTTTACTGCACATATGATGCAAAACTGCCAAAAGCCATAGTATTTAAAATAGGATTGTGCCTGTGAAACTCGTCACATATCTATCAAGCTTATGAGTTATGTAGTTATATTATATTCCGATGGCCAACGCATTAAGAAACACTTAGAGAACAGCCGATATATTTCGTTACCCCTGCCAAAAAATAGCCAAGTGACTCATCTTTCAATGTAGCGGATCGACTGAACATTATAAAAGCTTGTCATGGAGAGAAGTGAATTTTCGGTTTATCCTTCGTCCCAGTGACCAGTGAGCAGTGTGCTGTACGGCCTACGTTTAAACCGTTATACATAATTACTGCTTTCATTCTTTCAATCCGTTTTGAATATTCGGAATCATTCACTATTATATTATAAAACTGTATAAGATAGCTGTAGAACTATAAATGCTGTAGAATAAAATAAATAAAGAAAACTACGTTTTATCGCGGTATTTGCCGACAAATCGGTAACCGCTACAGAAAAACAGAACAAATTACAGTAAATCACAACAAACCGCGGAAGTGGGACAATTTTGTATTTTTACTGTAAGACATGCAGAACATGTACGAAATCCATACAGAAGTGTGTGTGTATCAGTTCTATACTTTTGAAACAACTAAATCAGACTTCGGAAAATTTGACAGTATTAAAGCTACTTTTGAGAATTTAGATTTTAGGTCTTTGTTTTACATGTACCCAGTAAATATTTTTGAGTTTTGAACTTTGATTCTCACAAGCTTACAATTTGTTTACAATTTACTCTGCCTCTGTCTCTGCCGTACTGCACGGCAGAGTTGATCGGAATTGTAACAAATACGCGTACACTTAAATGGCTTCCTGAATTTAGTCAATCAGATGTGTAAAAATTACTCGTTTCAATTTTATGTTTATGCTCGAAACTGCTCATGTTTACAATAGCAATTCTAACAATCTTGCCCTCCTTTTCGCCTTTGAGGCGTTGGTGTTGATTTATACACAAAATTCAAAACTCAAAAATATTTACTGGTCTGGGTACATGTAAAACGAAGACCTAAAATCTAAATTCCCAAAAGCAGCTTTAATACGGTCAAATTTTCCGAAGTCTGATTTAGTTGTTTCAAAAGTATAGAATACACACACACTTCTGTATGGATTTCGTACATGTTCTACATGTCTTACAGTAAAAATACAAAAATTGTCCCACTTCCGCGGTTTGTTGTGATTTTAATACTGTAATTTGTTCTGTTTTTCTGTAGCGATTACCGATTTATCGGCAAATACCGCGATTTGAAAACTTACTTTTCTTTATTTATTTCATTCTACAGCATTTATAGTTCTACAGCCATCTTATACAGTTTTATAATATTGTGAATGATTCCGAATATTCAAAACAAATTGAAAGAATGAAAGCAGTAATGACTGATGTACTGTATATTATAACGGTTTAAACTTAGCCGGCCGTACAGCTCACTGCCACCGGTCATTGAGCCGAAGGATAAACCGAAAATTCACTTTTCTCTTCACAAGATTTAATGTTCAGTCGATCCGCTACATTGAAAGATGAGTATACTTGGCTATTTTTTGGTAGGGGTAACGAAATATATCGGCTGTTCTCTACAGTAAGTGTTTCTTTATGTGTTGCCCATCGAATATAATATAACTACATAAGCTTGATAGATGTAAGATAACGAGTTTCACAATCCCATTTTAAATACTATGGCTTTTGGCAGCCTGGTTTTGCATCATATGTGTTTTTCAGTAAAAGCCCCATTTTCCTACTTCCCCAACGTGTAATACGCGAAAAAAACTTTGTTAATAATAACAAAAAATTGTAATAGTAAACAGTGTATTTTATTATAAAGGATTTTCGTTTTTCTACTGCTCCGTACTCCGTGTGCTCCGTGCTCCGTGTGCTCCGTGCTCCGTGCTCCGTGCTCCGTGTTTTACTAATAGCCTTGCGTGATCACAAATTGCGGCTGTAGTAGAAGTAAAACACCATTATTGTAAACACAAAAACCTCGTGCAATACTGTCTTAGACTACTATTTAATTCAATACAAAGAAAGGGAAATCAGAGAGCAACGAAACATTTCATCGTCATTTGATTGACATGTTTACGCTCAGCGAGTACATTTCTTTCGGTTAGGAGTTTTCCCCGAGATTAATTCGTACATTCTATAAAACGAAACTTTATATAACAGTTTAAGGTAAACAAACCAATGAAAATTATGTCTGTAGTATGACTAATTCTGAATTTTCTAATTTCTTTGAGACATTTTATTTACAAGGAGGTAAACAAAGCGAACAGAGCGAAGTTCGTATGTCACAATCAGGACTCATGGCATTGAGGCGCGCAGAATTCGAACACACTGGACACACTGGCATTGAATGACTATCCTTGAAGCCAAACTGTACAGTCAAACAATTTCATTCGAGTGCAAAACCAAAGAATAATGATGAAAGACATATATTTACATAATCAAGCTTCATTCAGTGTAGTGTAAGGTGGTTTTATTTGTTGATATCAAGAATTATGTTTACCGATAAAGTATGCTCGATTTCGACACATTTTCAAATTTTACAAAGTTTGCGCGCTTGTCATTTTTGTCAAATGGTAGATCAGAAAAATATTATTGGCGATTTGTGTTGACTAATGTTAGTAGTTTATAGAAAAGTTAAAGTCATGTGCCAATCAAGTGCCACGATTTTGAAATAAGCTTTCGAAGTTGACATATTTTGAGACGATATCCTTTATCCGTTCAGGAGGGTCAATAACTGCGCTGTTTTCTATTTTATACCAAAGAATAATGATCTAAGTCGTATCACCCGCGAAAATAGAAGGATATAAGTCTATACTTCTGAGCAAAAATTTTGAAATTTAGGTATGAATTTGATTTTAAAAATAGCGCTGAAAATATGTCGATATTTGGCCTTCATTCGGAGTATCAAGTTGGTTACCAGTCGATCGAACATCAATCGCCCCAAAAAATAATTTAAAGGAAATTTGGGTAAAATGACATCGATTTTAGTTGTTCCCAAGGATAGATCTTCAAAATACTAGAGTATGAGAGAAATCTATTTTCGAGCCCCATACTGACCTGGAGGTTTTTACGGAGACAGCCTCTTAAGTGGCTTGATTAAATTTGTATTAAATGAAGAAATCGTATTGGACATGCAGTCACGTTTTCCCAACCATTTTTTGCACTGTTTATAGAATGTCATGATAAACACATATACTACTTAAGAAACTGCGATAAAATTTTTTGTACGTGAAATACACGGGACTTTATTCAGTGGGCTATTTCCTCACTATCCATATATTAGTTGCACTCGTATGGTCATATACATGAATTCCTTATAAACAATTCCATTCATGCATGTGTGTAGTTTAGTAGTCATTAACTATTTATACAATTGAAGTATATACGCCTGCAAAAAGAACGACCAGACCTGAGAATAGGAAAATAATGTTTGCAACAATAGTAAATCTTGATAGTTGGTTATATAAGAGTAACGTGTGCGACACAGCAGGAAGTAGAAAGCCAACAGTTGCTGTTACAAACGAGCCAGCCAATGACATAACATTTCCAAGTTGAGGAACACTTGCTGCAATACCAGCTGCAAGGGAAAGAGATGAAAATCAGTGCAAAACAATGTGAGTGCAAGTATCTTTTTCATCTTCAAGAAAACATTTCCTTGATAAACAACTCGATTTACAACTGTGTACAATTTGGTTGTGTATCCAAGGGAGCAATATTTAACAATTATTCGCCGAAGACGAGGTGATTATCGCTGAATAAAAACCGAGACGAAGTCGAGGTTTTTATTCACGATACTCACCAAGCCTGAGGTGAATAATTGTTTTAGTATAATTTCGATCATATGTGATCATTTGGAAACTTTAACTTTTTAGTATGAACTTCGTAGAAAATTGGAGCTTATTGGAGTATCATGATTTGTACAAAGTATTTTTCGGTACGCGGCGTAGATTTTCATCTCTTGAAATATATTGATCCACGTTGGTATACGTTTAGCTTTTCTCTAGCCACAAGACCGCAAAAATAAAAATCGGAAAAGAATTGTATTTAGTAAATAAGTTTTCATGTTTTAAACAATTATTACAAATTCAAAATATCCCATTGTTGAAATACAGTTTTAGTTTATATACGCATACCGAGATCGGCCTTCTTCTTCTCTGTTATTACGTATTATGAAATGATCTCTTACCTGAAATTGTCAATATTAGGATCCTAAAAAGAAGAGACATCACTAATAAAACCGATTTTCCGGCACTTGACTTTTCAGAATAGGATCCACGGTATCATATCCAACAAAATATATAAAGACGAGAGTGCAGGAAGCAGCAAAACCCACTAAAACTTTCGTAACCGAATAGTACCTGAAAAATGACGTATTATAGATATTATAGTATACAGATATACCGATCTCAAATAATTACGCATGTTCACACACGTATGGGGTTGATACACATCAAGCTCGTACCAGGCTCTTTCTTCCACGTTCCCCGCTTGAGGAAAGACCCTGGGCCAGGCTGATCACGTGGCACCCATAATTTTTGAGATAATAAAACTTTGCATAAGGGTGTGGGGTTAACGTTGTTTTACCTATCTAATAAGCGATATCAATTCGATAAATCTCAGAGCGAGAGCTTGGGTTGCAAAATCAAAGTCAATGGGTGAATGGCTTCGAAACAAACAATCAATGAAGAAAATAGAACTTTGTACATTATGTATTCTTTGTGGATCACGTTTGCGATGTCGCCACGCAAGGCCTGTATAAAATACTGGAGTCTTTCAGTTTCTGAATGAATATTCTGCCCGTATTTTCTTGTCGATATAAAACTGAACCCGAGGCTGTGTCGTTGAGTGAGGCGAGTGAGCTTCAAGAAGAACATCTATTGACAATACTAATGTTGAATTAAGAGTTTAATTTCAAACGTCCAGCCAACCTGGACTACGGTCTTTCCTCAAGCTAGGAACGTTGAAGAAAGAGCCTGAGTACGAGGTTGGGTACACGCGTGCAGGGGCAGTTACCTGTTACAATCATCTATAGGTAGTTTTCACTAAGCTGAATGATGTTGGATAAATTTGTCAAAGCACTTCTTGTTTCTAATTTCATCCAGCATTGCAAAAATCTCTTTATTTTTGACTCCCTTGCAAAGAGTTTGGGTAATGGTCGAGTGTCGAGGGTCGAGGGTCATAGGTCGAGGGTCGAGGGTTATAGGTCGAGGATCAGAGGTCGAGGTTCGAAAGTCGAGGTCGAGGGTCAAAAGTCGAGGGTCAGAAGTCGAGGGTCGAAAGTCGAAATTCAAGGGTCGAAAATGGGAAATATTAGTTTTTTATTAAACATTTTCACTTTTCCAGAATACTACATTTTTGGCATTTGTTGTCAAAATTTTAAAGGTTCTCCTGTCGATAACTAACTTTATTACTGTTAGTACAGAACATGCCTTAGGGCATAATTAGGTTCCTTTTTGTTTTTCGAGAAAGTGTAAAATTACTAAAACTATTCGAGAACGTACGGTGCCGGTGGGGTGATTCGAAACTATATTGTATTTATGTATCGATCAATTCGAAACTTCACCATTCCCCCCCGAGCCGACCCCCGGGAATTTGAACTTTTTGAAATTTGACAGATCAAATTCTCCACACCCTGTGCAAAAAATGTCTTCAAATGCCCCACTGTAACAAGAAATTAAGCGTTCAAATGCCCCACCTCCATATGAAAATTATGAAACAGTATATATAAAAAGTACAAAATATACGGAAATGTTTTTCGACAAGATAGCGAAATTCACGTAAAAAGTTTGGATACCTTGTGGAAATTTAACAGTTTTACACAATTTAATATGTAGTACATAACCTTCAAATGAAGCACATAGATTTTCAATGCCCGTTTATTTGAGCCAGTTTTTCACAAAATTGAGGCCGTTTCCCTCGAAATCTGAGAAAACTGTATTTGCCGCCAATGCAAAGTATTTTCTGTGCATGCAGGAGGCACGCGAAAACGGGCAAAATTTTAAGACTTCCGGTTCAAATTCTCCACCCCGTTAGATTTCCCTGGAGAAGACTTGAAGTCAAATTCCCGAGGTATGCTCGGGGGGGGGGGGGATGGTGAAGTTTCGAATTGATCGATACATTATTGTACTATCAGAACGAATCGAGTCCCAGCGTAGCAAAAATCTCTCACAATGGTCGTGAGATAATTCTAAACCGAACTAAAGTCACCCTGTTATAAAGATTCGTGTTTCGTGCATGTTATTTTTGACAGAATAACTAAAGAAAGTTTCCATTTTATTACACTACAAGGCCTACAACGTTCCAATCTCGTTCCGCAGTTTAAGTTCCGTTCTCGTTTCGCAGGTTAAGGGTGGGCATAGCTCTGGAGAAATCGAATTGACTCAGGCCTGTGATTGGCTAACGGCAGATAGTACGTTGGATTTCCAACGTGAGTTCTACGCATGCTTGGCAATTGTTGCAAAATATAAACAAAGTATTTGGAATTTCTCGTCGAAAATTTGCTACTTTTTTACACTGAAATCGATTGAAAACAACTAGAAATTGTGGAGGGAATATGTGCGAACGCTTCGGATTGATAGGGATACAACTACCTGAAAAATACAAGGAGAACTTCGACGTTTCGAGCGAAGGCGCTTCGACTTGTACTGTTAGTGTTTGTATATATAGTACTTGACCTTTTATACTGTCGTACTTAACACTACGTATACCATAAATTCTGATAGGAGAGTTAAATGTAAATTTTAAAGCATAAAAATATATAATACTCATTCTTGAGGAGATTTATCAGTAAAGGTGAAGTACGATGTATATAAACACTAACAGTACAAGTGACAAGTCGAAGCGCCTTCCCTCGAAACGTCGAAGTTCTCCGAGTTGTATTTTTCAGGTAGTTGTATCCCTATCAATCCAAAGCTTTCGTACATATTTCCTCATAATTTTTAGTTTTTTTCATTCCGATTTCAGTGTTAAAAGTATCAAATTTTCGACGAGAAATTCTAAATACTTTACTGCGGATTCAGGTAGACCGTTTAATGCGAATAGTTGTCGCGTTAGTTTTAACAGTTGTACGATGACGTTTCTAGGCAGATTTTCGACGTTTCTAAGGCGTGGCTTCAACGTTTATTTTTAAAATTTGAACGTTGTAATTACAAGGTAATTGCTAAATAGTATACTTCAAAATAAGGTTTCCGGCGCAAAACTAAACCCTAACCTAACCCTAACTTATTTAAAAAATTGATATAAAAACGGAAACCTTATTTTGAAGTATACTATTTAGCAATTACCTTGTAATTACAACGTTCAAATTTTAAAAATAAACGTTGAAGCCACGCCTTAGAAACGTCGAAAATCTGCCTAGAAACGTCATCGTACAACTGTTAAAACTAACGCGACAACTATTCGCATTAAACGGTCTACCTGAATCCGCAGTATTTATATTTTGCAACAATTGCTGAGCATGCGTAGAACTCACGTTGGAAATTCAACGTGAATCAATTCAATTTCTCCAGAGCTATGCCCACCCTTAACCTGCGAACGGGCATGCTCGGGGAACGAGATTGACAACGTTCTCGCAACTGTGCACTTCCGGTGCAGACATGTGAACACGCGTACGATGTTATAAAATATATAAATATCAACTGTTTCTCGCACACCCTAACGCTTTAAACCTCCAAAACCATACGCGGTTTGAAGAGTATCGTTAAGTTGAAGTTCTGAGAATTTCAGAACTCTTTCGCCTCCAAGTCCAAGAGATAACATATTACCTATAGGCTATAATCAGTTTCTCATGAGAGTGAAACGCCATTTTCGTATAATCGTCCGTGTTTGTATGTCTTGTATATTTTAAACTCCAATGTAAAATAAAAGATGTATGCTTTCAAACATCAAACCCCGCATCAGACTTTTAGTTCCACAAACGAAACTTTCAGTTATACAGTACATAGACATACGGCATAGCCATAGGCGAAATTTTTCTGTTTTGACAGCAAAACTAATTGTTTTGCCGCGTTTAATGGTTGTAAAACTTTTAAAATGGATAAAAATTTGGTATTTTCGACTTTCGACCCTCGACTTTTGACCCTCGACCTCGACTTTTGACCCTCGACCTCGACTTGCGAAACTCGACCTATGACCCTCGACACTCGACCATTACCCAAACTCCCTTGCAAACCATGTATTCAAATTGGGGATATAGTAGTTTGACCTCCCGAAACCGGTCGGCACCATGATTGCGACTCACGTGTACATTTGGTGGAAATCGCTTGCTTGCTACTATGATACATCATATGAATGTTGTTATCAAATAGAATTAATATCTCTATCATTTGTTTGGAAATTGATTCCTGTTTTTTGACAACAAAAATCTGAAAAAATGATCTAATAATTTGCATTCCATATTTTAGGAAACTGCAGGATGCAGTTATAATAATGAAAAAAGGGAACAATATAAAGAATTATAAATAAATAAAGGACATCTTACCATAAATTTGGTAAATCAAGAATAATACTGTCTTGGCATTGAGGAGAGCACGAAATATATCCAATACTCCCAACAAAAGCGTATATACATGAAACACGAATCATGACAACATTAATTACAAGTGGTAACTGCTCCGGTTTCCTAGATTTATTTTCGACTGTAAGAATCTTAAAAAAAAGAAGGTATCATTTGTCAGTTTACGACTTGCGTGATCTTTGTTCGTACGAAAAGGTAAATTTATAAACTCACGCCTCACGCATGATTGTATTTGAAACTTGGATTACATTTTTTATATACCCTGTACATTTAAATGAAGTATCAAAGGACATTGGAATTAAAACTTTAGTTTGTCTCATTCGAAAGAACGTACATAATTATGTATGAAGTGTTGTCGAAGATTTTTCATATTAAGTTTAAGTGTTGGAATATTTCGACTGAAAGCATGTAACAGGCCATTAGGCCTATATATACGCCATCTTGAATTAATCTGAACCTCATTAACTGTGGTTTTGATGGCGTCAAGATTGCGGTTAGCCTTCTATATTAAACCTCCTTTAAGTGACATCTAATGTTTAAAGGTTGTTTAATTAAACGAAATTTGAAATAGCAACCGAAAACAAGTTTGGGACCACATTGGTCATGGGGTATCAAGATAAATTGCAGTATATCCTGAATAATCCAAGATGGCGGAGAGCCTACTGTTTTAATCAGTAAAAATCACTGAGGCAAAAATACTTAAAAACCAAGCAAGATATGAAAGAGCTGTAAAAATCTTTGCTAATTACTTTTGAAGCTCTTTCTTTGCAGACAAATTAAATATTTACTGTCAATGTCCTTTAAATATTAAAAATTAATTCAGATTGGGTAGTTCTTAAAATCGACCTTGGCCTTGTATGAAAATCAATGGCGTATATACTTGGACTTTTGGACAACCGTCGAAGTTTAAGTGATAATCAAATAATAGTTGTGGAACTACAAGTTACCACATGTGCATTCGCATTTCGGCAATGTGAAATTGTTATTTGCTATGCACTCCTATAATAAGAAAATGATCTACATCTTACAAATGGTGCAATTTCGAACGCCAAAAATACGACCCCAATGGTTAATGGCAGCTTTGACAACCGCACGGTGTAGTTTACTTTCCAACTTGATGATGTAGAAAAAACATTCACAAACACAGCAACTATCGCAATGACTTCGAAAACGTTAGCAATGATTGAGCACCAAGCAAGAAAATCAGGTCTCCGTATGAAAATGGATGGGAAGACGAAAACATATACAATAAGTATCCAAACGGCTATGTCCAAATGCACATCTTGCTCCTCAAAAGCCTGCAAAAAACGAGAAAATCCATAGGACACATCGTATTTGCTAATGTTAAAGGATTAGTGTCACACCACGCTAACGCGGACTTTCGTTATAATTGTTTTTATCTTACCTTAAATCAACAAATAACGCGATAGAAATGCTTTGCTTTGTACATTTCCAGTATACGAATCAGAAGCAATGATTCTCAAAGGATGGTTTAAATAAATATGCGACAGATTACACTAAGAAACTTTTCCACATCTGTTGATCTACTTGGCCCATAAAATGACCGCCAGCAGGGGTCGGTTGTATAAAACTCTTACTACTACAATTTAACTACCAGTTTTGTTAAGTATAGTAGTTAACTTTAATCACGTACATGTAGTTTTAAAAGTCGGTTGTACATAAGTGTGTGGTACGTTAGCGTTAACTGCAGTTAAAAAGTAGTTAAAGAGTAGTTAAGGTTAACTATCCCCAAGGGTATCGTTAACTTCTCAAAACGTAGTTTAAAACACGTAGTTTGAAGTGCTTTAGTTAGGAGTGAACATCGTAAGACAGTAAGACAATAATGAAAAGCAGCGCTTACTTGGGATTTTTAATCGCTATCTCCCATGTGAATGTTTCCTGACAGTTATAAATTCTTCAAACGTTATCGATTTGGGCTTTGGCGAATATGTTTTTTGCACAGGAAGATTTATCGAAGACGAAGTATAAGACCCATTACACGAAGAAACATGGTATATAATTGCCAAACATGGTATGCTTTGGTTTGGTTTAAAGCAGACATCTCACGGAAAAACTGCCTTCTTCAGTTTTTCTTTGATTTACGCCTTGTCTCCGAGCCGACGAAGCGCCCTGCGAGGGTATTATTCCGCACGGCTATTTTCACCCGGGGAAAGGAATGCATTAGCGAAGTCCGCTAAAGTTCATCAATGATCGGGGCCATAGGTCACCGTTCATGGGTGGTCATCCTCACTGATCTCAAAATATAGCGGACTGTCATGAATAGCCAACACTGATTGGTCCAATTTAAAATTTGCATTATAACGACTGCATGACGACAGCGAAATAGCAAACATTTCTTGATTTGATGATTTTTAAATTTCTTGCAAATATATTTCATTTTTGCTCGCATTTTTGCTAGATTTTGTAAATTTCAAAAGCTTTCTGAGAAAGAAAGGGCGAAAGAATCGGCTAGAAGAAGGGAGAAAAAGCCCCGACGTTAACATGGCCAGAAATTCCGGTCATGGGAATCAGCAGTACGCCAGCGGTTTTCGCCATGGGGCAAAGTAACATGACGTATTCGAGCCGAATTTAATCCAATATGGCGTCGCTAACGAAAGAATCGAGGAGGCCACATAAGGGATATTACAAGCAACTGGAAAACATTTCTTCTGTAATTATGTATGAAACAAAACCTAAAAGACCAAAAATCAAGACGTACCCTAAAAAATTTGATGTCGAAAGGATTATATCAAGAAAAATGCAGAACAAGGTCAGTTACTGATTCAATGGTAGTCATTCACTTGTTCACACGTCATATTTTACATTTTTGAATCATTGTGATTGGCATACTGAGACAATGTCTGATGATACTGAATATATTTATTGCTGTAAAAATGTTGAAAGCCGTGTCAGCTACAGTTTTTTTGCACTTCAGGAGGAATACTACCTCATCAAATGGAAAGGTTGGCCCATGACCAGCTGCACTTGGGAACCTGCTTATCATCTTACACCAGAGTTACTAAGGTAATTTGTACAGAATTT